AAAGGGCCAGTATCTCCCACTCACCAGACTCAGCTCCTCAAACCACCACCCAGGCCTCTGCTTCCGTCTCAGGCCCAACCCTCCCGCCTGGTGGCTGGTGCCGTGATTTAACTCTGCTCCTTCAGGTTCCCTGAGGCCCAAGTTCTACCACCTGCCCAGAAGTTAGGCTAATATTGCCCTTCCAGTAGTCCCCACACTGGTAGTTACACGCTCTTCACCAGCACCTCTTCCTGAGCACTTGCTGTATCTGCTGTCTGACCGTTCCTGCTGTGTGTTTCCTGCAGCTTTCACCCTGCCCACTCTCCACTCACAGCTGGCCCAGACACCCAGCCAGCTCATCCACCCCTCCCCCTACGCACCCCCAACCCCACTGATGATTCCAGAGAGTTGTCATCACACAAGATGGCTGCCTATGAACCTAATCCCCTCCCTGCCAACACACACATACCCATTGATGATTCCAGAGGATGATCATCACACAGTGAAGCCTGAAGGGAACTGAAGGAGGGGCAGGGACATAAGAGAACCTCAGAGCAAACAAACCAAGCTCTCTGGTCCACACATTGCCTCTGCCTGGGCTGTGGTCATGTCCAGTTAGGCCCTGGCTGTCTGAAGGTTCCCTGGGCATACCCTGCCTCACCCTGCTGAGGCATTCCTCAAAACACTGTCAGCAAAGTAGTATCAGAACAAGGGTTTCCCTAAGTTTAAATCAGAGACTCATAATTCTTAGAACTTGGAAAGAGAACTTAGAAATCGCCTGTTCACTCCAAAGTCCTCATTTTTCAAAAAAAAATAAAAGAAGTAGAGGCGAGATAGGTCAAGTGCCTTGCCAAGGATCATATGGTGAGAGGCAGAACTGGGGTTGGAATGGGGGGCTCCTGAGTCCAGAGTCGGTACTCTCTCCACTGCACCTTGAACTCCTTCCTGCCCCATAAGGCCTGCGCTTCCATGGTGAAGGAACGGGGCAGGAGTGGTGTTCCTAAACCCATGACCAGTGATAGGGAAGGCCTCTATTTTTTTAACCTCTGGCTTGCTCACCATAGGACCCCAGGCAGATTGGTCAGTTTTAGAGGTAAGGATAGTAGGTACTGAGTTAGCCAAACCTGAGTTCCAATCCCAGCTCTTCTGTCTACCAGCTATGATTTGGCGCAAGTCGCTTAGCCTCCATATCTTGACCTACAAAAATGGGAATCAAACCTGTTGAATTGCTGGGCTTAACCAACACTTCCCTCCCAGCACAGAGGCCAGAATGAAATGAAGGAACATGAGAAAGCAAGTGGTTGAGCATCCTCTAGATATTTGGCATTCGATAAATGATCATTTCCCTTCCTCTTTGCTCAGAAAAGGGGCTGCTGCATTCTTTTTTATTTTGTTGGTAATTGATACTTAGAAACCAAAGCTGTCACAATCATTTGAATCCAGAGCTTTTGATATTGGCATCTCCCACACGTGGAAGTAACAGCCTTTGAAGGTAGCATCTCTTGAGCCTTCTGTGGCACACAAGATACATCCTTTTGGTAAAACATATAGATGAGTCTCTCTATATACCTCCTGAAGGCAAGCAGTTGATTGCTGCCACCAACTTTTCAAGGGGCTCTGGTGGTGTGGTACTTAAGGCATCTGCCTGATAACCAGAAGGGCAGTGATTCAAACCTACCAGCCACTCCACAGGAGAAAGATGAGGCGGTCTGCTTCTGTAGAGGTTTACAGCCTTGGAAGCCCAATGGGGTTCACTGTGAGTCAGGATCAACTCAATGGCAATGAGTTTGGTTTTTTTACACAAGTTGCTAAGCACGTCTGTGTCACAATACTACGCGATTTTAATTCAATCTAATGTATTTTTCCCTTTAACAAAACACAGTTTTTATGACTATGCCAGCAGAGTGGATGAAGAGAGTCTGGACAGGGTTCTTAAAGATGGCCGAAAGGTAAGCTCTGTTGTCTGGCAAGGCTCCGGAAAGCCTCATTATCTTGTTACCCAAATACAGACCAGAACGGAGAGTAATATGGAGCAAGGGATCTGAGTGAGGAGGGAGCGTGTGAGAATCCTGTTAACTTCAATAGACTTTAAAGGTCAATTTCAGATGTGAAACAATGTTTATAGTCTATCAAGAGAAAAATTTTAGACAATTTGTAGTATTCCAATTATGTAAAGATCAGAAGAAGACACAAATGAACTTAATCCAGAAGGTAAATAATAGTTGATTCTGGGTGGTGGTTCTACAGTTTTGCAAATATTTAATACACATGTATTAATTCCATAATCTAGAAAAATAGCTCTTAAAAATGTAAATTGCAGTCAAATGTTTATTTGGCCATGTTACTCTTTCACAGTCAGTTGAACGCAAGATGTATTTCCAAAAGGTCGTGTGTTTGTTAATATTTTTGTCAACGTATGCATATGATGTTCTGATTATGTATGATAAAGCAAATCTGAATAAAATGGAACGAACCAAATTTTTATGCTGCAGTATTGTCATAGTCTTATTTATAACTTATTCTGCTATGTCATGTATGGGTTTTACTTTTTTTCCCCGGGATATTCATTTCAGAAAAATAGATTGGCTGTCAAGCTATCACTTGAGATAAAAAGGTACCCGTAAAATTTTCAACTTGTCAAACAGAAAAATGTGAATGTTTAAAAACATTTTAAAAGTATTATAAAAAAGCTGTTCAGAGGCTGCCTGTGGATAAAGAGAATAATCATGACAATGTGAGGCCTGGCTCCCAAGCTGTTTCAGAAGACTGTTTGGAGTAACAGCTAGATTAGAACACCAGCCTTTCAAATATACAGTCTTCTCCTAGTGCTATCAGTATATTTTACGTAAAGGAAGAAGGAAAAACAGGTAAGGATAAAACGAAGAGTGGGAAGTTCGGGGAGATAGGTTGGAAGAAAGGAAAAATGGCTTTACATGTGATTAAATGTAATTAATTTACATTTAATGTCAGATGCTGAGCTGTGGCAGAGTCTACCCAAGTGGCCTACCCCGTGGGAAAGGGTGTCAGAGCTAAAAGCAGCCGCAGGATCATGTGGTCCAGCTCTCATTTTCTGTGATTCCCCTGAGACCACATGCCTGGAATTTCTCAGGAATTCGCCCTTCGTCTCCCACCCACCACCTTTACCTCCTCATTCCGTTTATTTTTGTGTTTAGATAATGGACCTTTACCATGCTTTCTAAAACTAAAATGTCTTCCATGGAAATTCTTACTGGAGCACAGCCTTCTAGAGCAATCAAGGGTATTAAGAGTACCAGCAGATACTGGTGTTTTTAAATAGATAAAAGAATTAAAAAGTAAGAAAAATGGATAAAGACGACAAGTAGGAAATTCACAAAAGAAATCCACAAATGACCAAGAAATAAATGAAAAGAGGTTCAATCTCAATCATGAAACAAGGAGCTCCTTTTATTTTGCCAGCAGATTGGTAATGAATGAAAGGACCTGTCTTACATGGTGTTAGCAGGCTGCAGTGTTAGCAGACTG